TTTAGATCAGATAATTGGACTCTATATGGCCTATAGCTGCAATTTGTTTCAATTTTATGTCGGATCCAAAATAAAAAAATAATGGTCAGATACTCTCAAAAGAGGAAGCATTTCTGAACATTAAGAAGATATATAAGACTTTTTCAAGCATTTACATAAAGATTTGAAGAAAAAGTAGCATTTAGATTATATTAAATAAATGCCCAATATGATTTAAGTTATACCTTTCCTTCTTTTTTTTGTTAAAAAATGAAAAATAAAGTGATCCAATGTTATTTTTATAAGATGATATGTTTATTAATATATTGACATGTTTATTGACATATATATACAAAGAATACACAAAGAATTTTCTAAACAACCGATATGTTGCGTGATATATTAGGCATATTACACAGAGAGAATTTTTTCTTAGAGTTTACGTTGAAAATATGATGGTCCTGGGATAACATTGTATTACGAAGAATTTTATGTAAATTTCTCTCATTCATTAATAAAACTAAATATACGTACAACGTAATATACAGGGTGTCCCGAAAGTTTTTGCCAATCGCTTTTGAAAATAAATGATTTTTGTCTCTTGCAGCTTTTCTATAAAGTTGATAGTATTTGAGTAAAAAATTATTCAAGACTAATATTTGGCAGTTTTTAGTAATTAATATCTTGTTAACTATTGCGAAAATTACAAAATAGTAGAGGACTTTTCGACTCAGTTTAGTCCGCTCTATCTACACTAAAGCGATTAGCAAAAACTTTCGGGACACCCTGTATAATAAGTTTGATTAATTTTATTGAGGTACATGGTAAGAATCTTTAAAATATCGTATTGTATCACAACTACCATATTTTTAGGGTAAATTTTAAGAGACAATTCTGTCCGTGTAGGCATACTAGGCTATATAGAATCCGGTTGCTTTGTATCGACTTTGTTATCATGCCTAAATGGCAGCTTTGATCGTTCTATAATGATCTCAGTAGAAGCAGCTGTTCATTATTAATTGCTGCGAACAGTCGCGTGCTGAAATGTTCCAATCTGTGCAAAAGTGGTTCATGGCCGGTTCACGACGGTATCATTATGAGCTTTTACGCGCTCGTAAAGACAGAAATGGAGTGACGAAGGAGAAAACGGCCAGAATAGGGATACTAGGGATAACAAGAAAGCATGGATATTGCAAATTTGCGAGCCGCATTACCGGAGAGAAAGCAGTTATAGCCGGAGAGCAGGCGGTTGAGATACGAGGCGATGCTAAGCAGTGCGACGTCTATCCGGAGGACGTAAAGCTTAACGTGTTAATAAAGGCCAGTAGTATCAAGTCGTTAGCCTCTTCATGATTAGAAGATATGCATATTAGATACATGGTAGTTATCTAAAATGAATACAATAACGTATTCCGAAGAAAAATCCTATTATTACAAAATTGGATATTGCATGTATCAATTCTCGTCGTACTTTTTATGTAACAAATATTATGTAACTCTGCGTTTTAAGAATATTGTGAATTGTTTACTGAGGATGGCCAAATTGTGGCCGAAACGTCTAATGTTTTAATTAATGTAATGATAATTAAATATCACAAACTTGTGCGGTGGGTTTTTTATGCTCTTCTTTTCATACGTTTTGAATTATAAACCATGTTTCGTTTTTATGATGTATAACAAATATTACATTCTATGTTGTTATTCTACAGTTATTTATTGATAAAAGAAAATATGGAAGAAAGGTCAAGAAAATAATGCATAGTTTAAAATTAAAAAATATATTATGATAATAAGAAAAATTAAAGGCGTTATCATATTGAATGTTGTTTAGAAAAATTAAAGGCGTTATCAGCAGGTACGTATATTTTTCAAGTATCGATATCGCGAAACTTTAATTCATAGGTATAAACAAAAGGTAATTTGAAGACGAGTAACATACATGTATAAGTAGACGCAATGATAAAGATGTTTTTACGATCGCAGCGCGAGCTTGGAAAACAATGTTTCAACGAAAAACTGACGAAAAAAAAAGGAAAGATAGGAAGAGGAGGGGGAGAGAGAAAGAGAGGCTGACACCCTGCCGCGCGGTGCTTTAACGAGAAAAATACCTGCAGTCGTCGAGCAATTTTATTTACAATGGTTAAACGAAATCTTGAAGAATGTAAACGGTGAACTCGTAAATCGCACCGCGGAATCTATTGTGCTTTGACTTAGAAAAATAAACCCCGTTACATCACCGTCGTGTACTTCAACACACAGACACGCGACTGTATAACTCGGATGGAAAGCAAGGTAACGCTGTTTTGCATTCTCCATCACGCTTCGCGTATTCAAGGCATGATGAAAACGCATATTTTTCAAATACAATGCGTTAAAAACTACCAATTAGTCAGTCCTTCGCGGCGTTCTTTGAAAAATGTTAATAGCGAATATCAACAGGAAGTTGTGCCTGGAAAACAAGCGAACAAATACAATCATCGCAAAAGACATCGCGTGAAAGCCTTGGGTGAGACGGTAAGTGAATGTAAATACCAGCACAGCTTAAGCCAAGGATGTCCCTAGGAAACGGAAATATTTGCGGATGGTTTGGTGCCACGAAAGTTCGGTATTCATTTAAATGGCGATACCCACAAGTTCTCGACTCCGTAATCAGCTTACCGATTTTCCTACGCGCCCTCGAACAAATACCATTGATATTTGTCCGAGATATTTATCATGAAATTGCTATACTGTGAATAATATTCTCAGAATTAATATTAATTAATATTAATTAATATATAAACAACTACGGTAAAGTTTAAGTTTTGATTAAAGAACGATAATCTTTATCTAATTTTAGAGAGAAATTTTTGCAATAAATTTTATATAAAACTACTTTTGTATAAAAGAATAATATTAGCTTGATGCGTAACGATAAAATATGAAATATAAAAACTTTGGCTCCTTACAAAGAAAATACATTTTCCTCATATAATTGTAGCAGATAATATATATACGTAGTGTCAATTCATTTATAAGAATAATAATGAAGAATCGAACGAAGAGTATTTAATAACGTTTCATTATAATTTAGCTCCAAAAAGACAAAGTTTTTATTATTTCACCGTAAAAATTTATAACACTTTTTTATATATTTTTTTAACTGCTTGTAAAAAAAAAACACAAGGATACTTTATAACTTTGTAAACGTATAAGTGGTTTAAATTGCTTTTCGATTGTCATATAAGCTCGTTGATCCGATTATATGAGGTAAGTCGTGAAATTTATTGGTTATCGTTTCTTGAAACCGATAGTTATCGATTCGACGTAAGAAAGTATTTTTGTGATCATCTGTACTTCTGTGTTAATTCCATATAGAAAGATCGTGTAAAATAATAGAATCGGATGATGGTGTTAACTACAACAAGAGAAACTCTGACAAGAATGTAAGCCAGACTCGCAATGTTATTTATCAACAATATTCGGTTAATAGAACGATTCGCAATTACGCGGAGGAGGATTTTATCAACGTAAGTGCGGATTTATTATATCTGTTGTAAATGTGTGCTTTCGAACTTACGTATCTCACTCCTCGAATGATGAGTAATTACGTTACTATGAAAGAAAAGTACAATGCTCTCTGGAGGAGGCGATCCTTCCCGAGCAAGCAGGTGTGTATAGTCGTTACTCTTTAGAATCATTTGTTCAACCGTTACGTTAAGGGTCAGGGCTAGAAATGATAAACGATCCGTTCTCTTACCCACCTTCTCACCAGCGGGTTCCGTCCCGTGTATTTCTCCTCCGAGATCACCTCCGAGGGGAATATAACAGGCGCATCGGAGAAAGAAAGAGGAAAGGAGATAGAAAAATATGACCGCCCTGGTTCCTTCGTTCGCCTTCGTTCACCTTCGTCTTAATGTAAGCGAAATTTAAAGAGGCAGCTCTCTCTCTCTCTCTCTCTCGCTCGCTCGCTAGTGAAGCTTAAAGAGGAAATTCGTGACCTCGATTATGATGACGATCAAGACGACGACGACAACGACGACGACGACGGCGCATCGCGACGGAAAAAAGGAGGGACGCGCGTGAAGACGCGCCGCCGCTCGGGACGATTTAAATCAATTCGCCGCGTACCATGGTAGATAAATTTCCGGTCTGACGTTTAAGCGATCGCGAAAAGTTTTTCGTAGCAAGCCGTACGTGCGATATGGCCTGGTATAAAAGTTTGCTCTTCAAACGATCCGGTCGGCAAACTTCTTTTCGCGCTAGTACTTGGGATATACCGGTGCATGATTAAATCGGGTATACCGCATCGCGAATGATGTATGCGAATCGTTTGCGTTCTGGGCTACGTACGACGTACGTGCGTTCGATTATCGGCGAGTAATTACTTATTCAAACTCGAGAAGCGAACTCTTCGACACGTTAACGCGTATCTCTCCGAATTTATCTCCCTCCGCGGGGCGACGAATGGTAACAGCGATAAAGGAAAGCGAAAAAGTTGAAGGATGTCGTTATCAAATTTAAGTCCGCGCGGATAATTTTGCGGTAATGGAAAGCCCTATCTCTGGAAGAAGAGGGCAGAGCTTAGCTCAACATCGGTATCAACCAATCCCAGGTGTTCAATTGGCGCTCTGCCAGAATTTAAGCTTGGCTTAAATTTCGTGCAGTTGCTACGTAACTAGGGCAGATTCAGATTAGAATTAACTAATTGTTGCGTACACCGTCGTAATTAGGATTCCCGCATGCTCCCCGCATACTAATATTTGATAGAAACCTAACCGCGGGATATCGTATACGGGAGGAAGTTAAACCTATTCCACGGCACGCAATCGTGACGTCTCACAATCTATCGGTAATATTCAGAAATGAATATTACCGAGCAATTTTTAACTCTTTACACACACTTTAATCGGCCATTCAAAAACCATTGTATTAGGTGCGCAACTAAGTTCTCGCTGTTATTATGATGAAAATGCCATCAAAATAACAGCGAGAACTTAGTTGCGCACCTAATAAAATATTATTAAAATTATTGTACTTACCGATTACATTTAAATGGACTAGATGACTCATGTGGGGCGTCGTGGAGACCTGGCACTCGTAAATACCGCTGTCCCGATGTTGTGGATACTTTATTTGAAGCGTCCAGTCGTCTGAATGAGCGTTGTGGATCGCTCGAAATCGCTGGTCGTTCGTGTACGTATAACGGCCAATTGTGAGCAAATGGACGTCTCTGTGCCGTACCCACGATACTTGTAGCGTCATCTGCAAAGGAAAACGAGATGGGAATTGAGAGACAAAATCGACTGAAAATCACCAATGATTTCACCTCTCAATTCTTTATGTACTTGCTTAGGGTTACTTATTGTACTGGGACACATAATTAATGATTTGTTTGACGTACCAATAATTAGCCAAATATCAAGGTTTTCAATCACGTTTCTAAAAAAATGTTGAAAATTTTGAACGTGTTGCTAGTGTGACTTATTAAGAAAGCAAATTTTCTTGCATATAATCAAGATATGAATAAATGAATATTTCTCTTAATCTACACATCTGGAAGTCTACAGCAAAATAAAAAGTACAAGTAAAATGTTAATCCCAGCGTACGTTACGTCATAACACGTTACATCGTACACGAGAAAATAATAAGTTTTTGTAAAGAAACAAAGCTTTTACATATCAGAAATTAATGAGAGAAACTGGGAATCAAATAATTCAGTTTTTTGTCTTTGCGCGCATTGGACAAGTTGAAAAAATGAGGATCATTCACTTCGAGAGCATAATTTATCGCTACGCATACCAACTGCTGTCTTTTGACAGATGTAACGCACGTGCACGAGACAGCGACTCGTAAGCTGATATCGCTGTCGCGGTTTCCAATGGCACATGTAATAGAATAAATTACAAAGCGTACGCGAGATCTAAATTCAGACTAGCGAGTGGGATATACGACGCCACATCAGATACAACTTTCGAGCGTGCGCTCCGAGCGAGCGTTCCTTCCTTCTCGTACGAAGGAATTAATAGAGTCGCTTTGCATATCGTTGCAAAGTTAGCGTGCGAGATAAAACGCCTCGAGCTGAGATAATTGGACACCCGGACCCAGCGACGTGTAAATATTTGCATCCTTCGAGTAAGGTCGATACGCATTACTCGAAAAGCACATGAACATGTGCACGTAGTATAACGGTTCAGATGCGTTTCAAACATGGTACTGCAGACGATGTCCTAAATGTGGCTATCGTATGCAGAAATGCTCGTTCCCGTTCAATATTGCCGGACAAATTGAATGTCGCGGTATCGAAAGCTAAGTTTACATCGAAGGTTGGAATTAATTAAGCTTTAATTAAGGTTTAATGATACGAACAAGTAAACGCGGGACACATTACGCAATACATGGAAAATTGAATTAATCGAGTTAAAATTAACCGAGTTTGCCACTAGTCGTTCTAGTAGTAGCAAAGGGGGTTTAAAGTTTCGAACATTAAATATTATAAACATGAAATCGCCATAACGTAATGCCTAATAGGATTCATTCTCTATACTGTTTCGTATATACCCTTAAATTTTAATACTTGCTTCAATTTCTGTCTGAAGTCTTTCATTAAGTGCGCCACTGCCTGGATTCCGAGGGACCGATATATCTATCTACTATTCTACTACAACTATTCTCTCTCTCTCTCTCTCTCTCTCTCTCCGTTTTCTCTGAGATTCGCTTCCCTGGATCCTTATCCAACTCACTTCGTAGTTTCCGTAAGGACTTCGCTCGGTGGGTCCTGCCGGACGAGTACGAGTTGTTGCGGAAGTTTCGGCGACCTAAAGATGTCCCTTGTTCGAGAACTTGCAGTGATATCCGAGCAGATACGGAGGAGGTAGTCCATAGATAAGGGTGTGTTCTCAGTGGGAAGGAAGGGAACGAGATAGACAGATAGAGATGGAAGATGGAATGGCGCGGAAGCAAAGCCTCGTGAGTAGATACATTCGAGTTTGGTCAGGCGAGACTCGCTATCTTGTTTCTGCCGTCGTGCATAGTTTTATTGCGCTTGTCGCGCGTATGCGTATCGCGCGCACCCGTTATGTCTTCTGTTAATTTATGATACGCGACCGACACGAAATGCCATAGTTGCCGAGCTCGAAGGCTTCCGACCATGCCGGATCCAGGACGATGGGTCAAACACTGTCGACTCTGCATCCTGCGTCCCTAGTTCTCGCACCAGCTCCTGACGCCGAACCGCATAGTTGGCCTTTACATACCGATTCCGCTGTCGCCGCGCAAATGCGATTTATGCGAATTCCCTTTCTCGTAGCCCGCCGAATGCAGATAGATGGACAGATTTATTCTGTCTCTTGATAAATTCGTTAAAGATATTGAGTGAAATAATAGATGATTTAAATCGATTGTAGCTGTAAATGGAAGAATTTAAAAATTGAAATTACGGCAATTACAATATTACAATAACAATATTACGGTATTCAAAGAATGTATTACTGAGATTTTAATGCAGTAACAGAGATAAAAGGTAAATATCAACATCCATTCCTCTCAGATGAAGTACTTCTAACTCGAGTTGTCCTATAATAATATATGTGATTTAAGAACAAATTTTCAACAATTACCAATTTTAATAGACTTTAAATGTACAAGACATCACGGCACTTGGAAAAAAGTTAATTTATCGTAAATTCTCGTTAATTCTAGCAGAAAATTCTATGCTTTACAATAATTTTTAAACAGAGTTCCGACTGCTACTTTTCAATTTTGATTTTTTAGTATAATAAATGTAAAATTCTTTTTTATTTTTATAAGAAACTGTAAAACTATGAAAAATGCTACTGGAACTGTTATTATTTTTTTTTATATTAATAGAATATCGTGCTATCTTTACAGACACAAATTTGGGTAGTAAAATTAGGACGCCGTTCTATTAATAACATAAATAATGACAGTTCTAATACTACTTTTCATACACTGAGAGAAATGGTTTGAATTAAATAGTAATTCTGGAAAATGAACGAATCAGAATTTTCTGGTTAAATCTATTAGAATTCTAGTTGAAATAAATAGAATTGTGTGATTAACATTATTATTCTGGTACAAATAAGAATCTGGTACAAATAAGAAATTCTAGTAGATTTTATCAGAAATATTGTATCAAATAGAATTTCGGTTACCTCAACTAGAATTTTAATAAATATAATCAAAAAATTTTGATTCATTCATTTTCAATCAGAAATTTCTTTCAGTGTAGTTCTACGGTTTATTATACAAAATAAAAAAAGTTTCGCATATTTTGTATCAAAAACCCAAAATTGAAAATACGTGTTAATTTCATAAAATTAGTATGACACTTCCCTTTTAAAGTACAAGAAAAAAAAATATTTTCACTTTTAGTTACAGTTGTAGTGTCATCAACTTGTGAAAGACGGTATTTGCTGGGGATTGTAAATAAAACAGCATTATCTCTACCGGAATGGTGAAGCCTCGTTTGATGAGGAATCGATCAATCTCCCGTTTCGTCATGATGTTATATTGCTTGACGTGCGAGTTATTGGAATCGATGTCGGGCAAGATTACCGTGTTAGCGTTCGCCAGCGAATCAAATATAGCATGTACGAATTTCCAGTGATGGAGAATTTTCGATAAGCTTTGCGCCCCGTGGCGGAACTGATAAAATTACCGGTCAATTATCTCGCGTAAACAAATTCTGCGTAAGAAGATTCCGACCTAATTTTGTGCCGGATAAGATGAGATCGTGACGAAAAGGTGGAAAGTAAATTACTCTCTCATCCACACACACACACACACACACACACACACACACATTCTCTCCCCCCCCTCTCTCTCTCTCTCTATGTGTCTATCTATCTATCTACATATCTATCTATCTATCTACCTGTCTTTATTTATCTCTATCTCATCATGAAACACATTCGAGAAATCAGGACGTCCGACTAGCAATAGTATATTCTACTGGGAAATACAAATTGTTACACAAAGTACATATAAGGTTTCGCCATAATACAACTTCGTCGATAATTAATACCGGATTGATTCTGGTTATGATTATGCCGTCGTTCCTATGTTAATTGTATCCGTTAAAGAGCGATTTATATGATATATTTTTCAAGTATTTGAAACTGAAATTAACTGAATTTAAATCGTGAATAGAGATGACACGAACAAATATACCGACAAAATTGACAATCCAAATTATAAGCAAATTATATGCAGGAAATTCTGTTTTATTTATTATTCCAAAATGAAAATAGTTTCATAATCCAAACAAAAATGACTTCTTTTAAATATAATATTTTTAAATTATCATAATGTGTTTGTTCACCAAATTTACATTGCGCTGAGAAATCGTGGAATTTAAACGAGATTATAAAGTATATTATAGACTAAAGTATATATTGATTTGTTATAAGGCAATTAATTGAAAAATAATGCACCGATACGATACATTTAAAATTATTTTGCCGGATGAAGCCAGATTATCGATTACTACATACTTTCATAAGCAACCATTTTATTACTTGGCGAATATAATTGCCATGCCACAAGCACTCGTTTGATTTCAAGATGAAAATACAATCATTAAAAACTAGGAAGTTTAAACTGATAATGTGAAAAACATATTTTGGACGTAACATTTCCAATTCGATTATTATCCCGGTCGATAGTCTTACAAATGTTAAATCGATTTAAAAAAAGTACAGAAATTAGGTGTAAATCAATATAACGAGGTAGTACAAATTTTTCGATTATGTTGAGCTTTTCATTTTTTATACACATTTTTTATACATTTTAAGCGCATTAAACCATTATATTGATTCTCATATTTCTTTTAATAATTATATTTTGGAATTTAAAGATGCTTCCCGCTTCTCTCTTATTCTTTGTTGAAGTTAAATAATTAATTAATGCAAATTATAGAAATCAAAGCTTTAAACGATCTAGCTGGATCTTAAATAAACAAGAATCATACAAGCATTTAAGATCCAGCTAGACCGTTTAAGATTTTGATTTCTATAGTTTGTGTTATCACACATATACGATCCTATAATGTATTATATTAATTAATTAATAATTACTTAACAGACTAATAAAAAAAATTACGTCTACTAAATGTGTAGTTGTAGTTTTTAAAATTATTTAATACCATTTGTGTATGTTATTACATAATATTATTAGGTGTTGGAATTAATTCGTAGCGTTTTTTAATGAAAGAATGTTATTTATTTCACATGAGCATTAAAAA